TGAAAATATTTTTTCGCAATTATTTTTTTTATTTAGTTATTTATTATTGTCATATTTATATATATTCTAGAGCTCACAGATAAATCATTTATATCTCAAGAGCAAAAAACCCAAATAAATTTCATTTTTTCTTAAAAAAGTTATTTCAATATTTTACAAATATCACACTTCAAATGAATGAAATTACGTTTTCTTATTTGTTTATATCAGGGACGTATATCATACCTATATGTTTACATCGGTGATTCTAATTTTTGAGGGGTTAAAGATTTTAACGTAACACTAAAAAAAGTGATTAGTTTGATTTCTTTTTGTTCTTGAGATATCAATAATTGTTTACTACAATATTTAACTTGGTTTGGGTCCCAGACCGAGACCGCTTACCGCATACGGACTTTCTACAACGTACAACACTCTTCCGCTGAAAGACCGTAAGGTCGTAATAGTGGACGTAAAACCCAGTAATTAATAATGAGAAAAATCGTTCAAGACATGACAACATCAAAGGACATGTGTGGACACGATCATGGGTACTCCATAGCGCCACAAGCGTAGATCTTCCGATTTCAGCATAGCTATTGACAGGGAAATGTCTACCGAGCCATTTCTACCTATATTTCTGAATTCGTTAGGTTAAGTCCTTGTGGTACCAGGTAAAACCTGAGTGATACTCTATACACTTGGTGGCGCCTATTTTGTCGTCCGCGGTTAGTTCGGGAAAAAGATTTATTATTAATTTTCTAAGGCTCACTAAAGCTTCAAGACGAAACAAACAGTCTTCCTTATGATAACAAAGAATGGTACGAAAACATGACAGTTGGGAAACATTTGTGGTTATATAACAATGCAAGGTTGTCCGCTAAATACAGTTGGGAAACATTTGTGGTTATATAACAATGCAAGGTTGTCCGCTAAATACCAAATCATTCATTCGTACTACAACAGTGATGGTTTCAAAAACAGGAATATGATCACCATCTCAAGTCATAGAAACACAGATTCTGTAGCAAATTATGTCGCTAGTACTGTAGTCCTAAAAGACATGTCAGAGTATCCGAGTCAAAAAAAATGTCAACACTGCACAGAAAACAAAGGGTTGCGGAAGTTCAATGATATGGAAGGTGGTTTGGCTGGTAAAAATGAAATGTCAGTTAACGATTACCCTGATCTCAACATTTCACCTTTGGACTTTCTGGTGTGTGATTAGACCAACAAATGTCTGTGTTCCGGATTCCGCCTGAAAAATTTATTATCTTTATTTCCTCCAAATATGAAGATTTGCAAAGACAACTATATAAACAGCAATAAATTACATAAATTTACACGCGTACACACCAACACGCACATACATATATATACAGTTACAATATGTTTTGATAGTTAATTAGAGGTATTTCACTACTTTCAACACATTTTCAATATATAGGGTTTGGTACTTATATGTACCAGAAAAACAGATTACTGATAATAGTTTTTCAACATTTGACATACATATGAGATAGCGCCTAATCTGAAATGTTCCATTTTCTCTGAAGATAAATCATACTTTAATAGACTGCCTAACAGAGCATTAGTTAATTCGAAATCCGATAAGTTATGTATATGGACACTGAATTGAATATATGACATGTTAATAACATAGCACCATAATTCGTCTCTAATGCATGCATTTGCATCACAATTTAGAACAATATGAGTTATAGAATCATTGTAAAATTTTCCACAAACATGACACAATTCCGTATTGGTAGACCTGCGAGAGGTTACACACCATCTTAAAATACAGTGTATAGATCTAGAGTACTGAGGATATTTTGCAGCAAGTTTCCATAAGCAATGTGCTGCAAAATATCCTCAGTACTCTAGATCTATACACTGTATTTTAAGATGGTGTGTAACCTCTCGCAGGTCTACCAATGTTCCGGATTCCGCCTGAAATAATGTCGATATTCAACAGAAAGCAGAAATGCATAAAGCCAGTTAGGATTAGGATTATTATTATTAGGGAATGGTATATATTAAAGTGTCATAGACACACGTGTCGCTTGTGTGCTTTATCAGATGTACCTGTACAACCATGTGCCGACTTTCTTCCGGACAGTTGGACAGACAGACGAGGTGACATACAGCACTCGGTAGACTCACCTGACCAGTCACGTGACATAATTCTATGCTGATTCGTACACGAGTGAAGTTTTCAACATATGCCATGATACAAATTAAGGAACTAAATAGGTTAGTTGGAGTAACAAATATGAAAACGCTTGTTAGATAAGACTAACAGACATATTTTACAATCATATTTTTTTTACAGATTGTCATGCCGTCATGTTGAAAATTCAGAGAGTACAATATCAAACTAATATGACATATTTGGTATCATGATTTCTAATCTAGCATTTATGACTGGCCTATTGATGTAAAACACAATTACTGAGCAAACTCTAACAAATTGAAAAATATTATGAAATGCTTGCAATTATTTCTAAGATTGAAAGTCTAGATAGTACCAAATTGTGCAATTCAGTAATGAAGTCCAGCAAAAACACCTTACAATGTTGCATTGGATCACCAAATTCAAGGTCTGTATTTACATTTTTATGTGATGTCCGTGATATCAGCGAATGACAAAAAGCTAACAAGTTACATTTTCCCTACTCTACCATAAGCAATGATTGGACAGGGCCTGGTATATTACGCACTTACCGTTAATAGTATTTGGTCACCTTGAAATAAAAGGTCACTGCCAGTGCAAGATACGGACAAAAGGTCGAGTTCCGATAACAGACCTGAAAATGTCTACTTGTTTATTTAATTAGTGTCTAGTACGATTTACCGTACAATGTGTACCCATGTCCATTGTTCTGTGACACTGTAATCAAACTGTCGACTAACCCTATCCTGACACGTGATTTATAGCTTGTGTTGTTTAAAACAACTAACCATATAAGCTCCTAGTTACTTATAGATCTTGACATAAATTTTCATCTAAAACACTAAAGAATTATTTACAATTCTCCAAATTGTAGAATATAAAAAGTGAAATAAAACACAATTTTCCACTATGAAAGTAGCTTAAACGCCATATACATAATGACGGACATCGACGGAAATCAGAATCCATACTCAAATATCGAATCAATTTGATTGTGGTGTCGTTCTATGTGATGATATTCTAACTTCTACTAAATTCACACAAGAATAACTTTTAGGTCATCATTGTAGTATATTATACACGAGATGACGTCTTTACTGGTGGGTCCACGGAGCAGCAGGCGTGTCTCTGGGGAAAATATTCACCAATAGTTTTGGTTTGTATAGTATTTTGTAAAATCAAAAAACGTGAAGAAGGCTAAGAAATAGAATGGATTGGGCGTGTAAATGGTTTATGAAGAGAAAATATCTGGTGTATTGTTTATCTTGCAAACAGAATCATTAAAATGGTCTGCATAGAAAGTACATTAAGGATGTTTCTTATCTAACATATAATATCGTTATGATGGCCCACCAACAGAATATTTATCTTACTTGTAATATCGTTATGACGGCCCACCAACAGAATATTTATCTTACTTGTAATATCGTTATGACGGCCCACCAACAGAATATTTATCTTAAATATAATATTGTTATGACGGCCCACCAACAGAATATTTATCTAACATATAATATCGTTATGATGGCCCACCAACAGAATATTTATCTTACTTGTAATATCGTTATGACGGCCCACCAACAGAATATTTATCTTACTTGTAATATCGTTATGACGGTCCACCAACAAAATATTTATCTAACATATAATATCGTTATGATGGTCCACCAACAGAATATTTATCTTACTTGTAATATCGTTATGACTGCCCACCAACAGAATATTTATCTTACTTGTAATATCGTTATGATGGTCCACCAACAGAATATTTATCTTACTTGTAATATCGTTATGACTGCCCACCAACAGAATATTTATCTTACTTGTAATATCGTTATGACGGTCCACCAACAGAATATTTATCTTACTTGTAATATCGTTATGACGGCCCACCAACAGAATATTTATCTTAAATATAATATTGTTATGACGGCCCACCAACAGAATATTTATCTAACATATAATATCGTTATGATGGCCCACGAACAGAATATTTATCTTACATATAATATCGTCGTTTGTTATCTGTCGTTCCAAGAAAACCGTTAGATTATCAAGAATATGTATGAGATATCAAAATCATATTCTTTAGAGAAAATGTATATGTTTATATCAAATGGGCCTGTAATTACATCCATTTATTTGCATTTATTGAAAATTTCTTAATTATACGCGTTAAGTCTTCCATTAATGCTTAGTGAAAATAAAAATCTTATGTTCAGTTATCTGAAAATCTTCAGTTATAATGAAGACATGTTTGGTAATGAAGAATTCAGTTCCAATAAATCATTTAAAAGAAACCAGCGTTAAGTTATTTTCTGTCTGGTGATAGTTCAATCTTTTTTCAAATCGACCAAAACAAGAAGGAAATTAAATTAAATATAAACTTTTTAGAGTCACGCGGGGGAATAAGTAGGCGTTAACCGCAAAAAAAATCGGGTGTTTATTTGATAATGAACATTATTAATTCATTTAGAGCCACGACAGTTAATGAAGTAAAATGTTGGCAAACTTTAATTTAAGAAATACTTCAAATCGTTATAACAAATCTTTCAAGTTATGTAGAAATAATATAATAATACATTCCACATTATTTTTTTTTTATTTCTCTATATCATACGAAATTTAAAATAATAAGTAACTGAACAGTTCCTTCATCTCAGAAATTATATCTATAAGAAACAATACTTACTAAACGATAGACAACCTGTTTTATCTGCGCATGTCAATATACTAACGTAGAAGACAGCTCGCCTCTGTGGGTAAGAGTCTCGTTGATTTCATACACATACTCGCAAATCCGGACTTTGTCGACCATTGTACGACTTTTATTTTATTAGCTGTGTCAATACATTCGTGTGAGCTGCCTATTGATGAACACGTGTTTTGACATCACAGTGAGTACATGTTTGAAAACGGTATATCGGTCGCATAGAGGTCACCTCATGTCAATTTTAAACTATGCTTTAGTGTCGGTACACCTCTATCTACTTAGTGTGTTGTGTGAACTGTGCTAGTATGTGCTCATGTGCTACACATATTTGTACCGTTAGTGTGATCGTTTGCGGCGTGTGTGCTGATCATAGCCACCAGCCTTCTGCTGTATTCACGATCGAAGGACAACAGACTCGTTATTATTACACTGCAACATCGGACGAACGTAACGTAAGTCGTTTAACAAAGAGCGATAGATTAGTTGTCAAGTATGACGGTTCAGAAATACTTTATTCAGAATTAAATCGCAGTATAACACAGATTTAATTGTCAATTTAATAAACTTCGCTCTTGTTAATTCACCATATACTATAACTGATCCATAAAACAACCATAGATATTTTACTGTCGCATCAGGGCCATAACTCTTATTTTATCAGTTTTCTGCGTACACAAAATGTTTTAGCTATCACACGACAGTGTAGTTGTATATGGGTCACTAGGTTTGTCCTCGCGTCCGTACAAAATACCTGCTGTATATATGCATGTGGTGATATCTACTCTAATCCGGATGATAATCAACCAGATATGAAGGTAGTTACGGTAGAATATTCACGCCATGTTGTAAATCTAGTAAAATTACATTTCTTCCTTCTGGAACATCAGTATCATGATATTAAACTGACATTGCAGAAATCTTTAATGTCTAATTTCTGAGTTTTATAAAATGTTTTTCCAACAAACACCTTTAATGTAATACTTATATCCTTTTTGACATTGTAATATTATGCCTACTGTCATGCAACTCATAAATATTATAGTGTCTCCCATTGCGGCAAACATCAGATTAAATCTCCTTTGTCATAGTGAAATTAGGGAAAATCCACGCAGTCGGGTTTTTCACCACATACCTTTTCACATCCGTTTCGGGAATCGAATCACGAACGCCTAGAGGAAAGGTGAATGTGGTATCACTGTGCCACCCAACCCAAAAGTTTCACGCGATGACAGAAATGATATTAATTATATTGATTATTACCATCTGTGTCAACTGTTTGTGATACTATCGTAATAAACACGTCTTTCATTTTAATCCCACAAGCTGATTATGGTAGGCTGGTCAAATTACGCGTTGCTTGTACGTCATCTGTCTGTCATCTGTCCGTCGTCGGTCCTTAAAAATGCTATGCATAGGTTCTCAAATTTCATACGTAGGTTTCTCTAGGTCTCTAGTTGTGCTCTCTATATTTTGGGACTAGTAAGTAAATAATATGGCGGACATGCGGCCATCTAGGATTTTTACCATGAAACTTTGTTATCGCTGTTTCTTTAGAAGTCCTTGATGGATTTTTCCTGAAACAATATTGCCAATAGGCGGCGATGTAGATTTTCAAAAGGAAAAATTGTTATGGCGATTTCTTAGGAAATTGGGGATCGATTTTTCTCGAATTTATCATGTAACTTACTTTCATTCCCTAGGTGTTCCCTTTTCTATTTTCGGAATGATCAGAAAAACGAAATAATCGACATGCGACCATCTAGTATTTGACCGTATCATCAAGAGCAAAAACAGAGGAAACAGGAAAAAGAAGGGAAAATATCCAGCTTGTAAAGCTTGTAAAACAATGATGTGCGCCAAGATCCCCTCTTAGACCGCTTTTTTTTACACCAAACCTAAACCATGTTTTATTTAATACCAAATTACATACCTATACGACTTGTAATTATCTTTACATTGTTCGGAAAACTGAAACCTAAAACATCGTTTACATTTTTTAAGAGGTCATCATATTCCAGGTGCTCTCATGAATTTATTTTTCATGTGTAATAAGTCTGCCATGAATCGTGATTTGTTACTACTGTTAAACGAGTACTGCAGTAAGTACACGAATAATACAGAATTTTTTTCTGAACAGAATTTATGTAAATATGCGGAATTTGACCTAAATTTCACACTTAAGTAAAAATGTGTTTCATCCTAATCTTTATATGCATTAAAAAAAGAGATGACATATTGTACGCTTGCCCATTTTTGTGTTACGTTACTATTGAATTTTAGTTTGTATAGCATACTATGCAAAGATATGTTTAAACAGCACAGCTATTGTAATTATGATGTGTGACGGTATGTGGTGATTACTTTTTCGATCACCATCACAAGACAAAAACCTGATTATGTGTCACAATTCATCGGAAAAAAACTTTGGATGGGGAAGGACAAGAATCCAAGGGTTTACCCCAACACTGCTTCTTTGTTTAAGATGGTATATATATGGTATGTAAGGCACTGAACATCAACCGTGTTACACTAGTTGTGATATGACGAGTCTTGTCTGCAAATAGCAAGATAGATAAGTTAAGATAATTCGCATACAATTCTAACATCTAACTTCATGTATTGTTCCTTTCGCAAAAATAGAAGCAAATACAGAAAGATCATTTTAGAGCTCTGTATAATTGGAGTAATCTGTCTACTTACAGGAGTGAAAATGGTATGAAGTTCGGTCGTATTTACTTGGATTGAAGATGAGAAGAATTAAATCAGAAGAAGATGTGACAAAGAACCCTGATGATGACGTATGTGATGTGGCTTTCCTCCCATACAAAACTGAGGAGGAAGTTAACAAACCTCAACAAAATCGCGCTTTCACGGAAAAAGTCGTTTACACAGTATTTCTGTGTTCGGCATTTTTCGTTTTTGTAAGTAATCTAGTTAATTATACAGAACGTGTGGCCTCCAGTACTTGGATAAGTGTTAGGTGTTTTTAGTATTTCAACTGACATTGATATATATATTTCCTTGTACTGATGTAGAAAATCTCTGATTTTTAATATCTTCGGTTTTGTATGAATGAAGTTAAAATCTAAATGTTAAATACAAATGTACAAACATCGATGTCGATGGTATATCAGACCTATGAGAGGTTGAAGTGTAAGAGTTACCATAATATGTTACAAAGAACTTGCGAATCGTTAACCAATTATACCTTGTTTAGAAACTCAAACGATTCTGAAGATGTTCACAATTGAACGAGACTTTTATATTATTAAGCGTGATAGCTAATCATCGGCATATATTCCATACAAGACCGTAATTTAGTTCCATGGAGTTATTTACTAAAGATATCTATTGTCACATGTCTTGTGTTACAGGGCTGGACCTATGAACAGATGGGCCCGGCGCTATTGGACCTCCAGTATAACACTGGTGTGACCTTCACCTTGGCCTCCGTGTACATGATGGCAGTCAACATCGCTCATATCGCAGGATCTCTGGGTGTCAGCATGTTGTATGGACGTCTGTCTACCTCTCTCATCCTCGGAGTCAGTATTATGGGCGTTGCGGCGGCTATGGCATTCATTCCTTGGTGCACAGAATTCCTTCCAATGCTGATGGGACACATTGTCCAGGGTCTGTTCGGGGGTTGTGTCGACTCCGGTAAGGGTTCAAAGGTTGCGATGTACATTGAGAAAAAGGTTAATTTTAAATACAGAGGTGGAACAGTTCATACTAGTTGAAACTTTGAGAATTGTGTATAAAGTTTTATTGTGTCTAGTAAGGTAAAATAATTTTTGTGCATTTGGGTAATGATTCGTTACAGCGCAAACTTATTTAGTATCAAAGACTACGGTAATTTTTGGGCCCGGGAAAGGTTTGAGGGTTGTGTAGTTTCGACTTTACACGTGAGTTGTTGTAGAAAAGTGTGGAGTCCTTCAATCCTACTCTTTATTATCATTTGATGTTTTCTTACTAAGTAGCTGCCCGAAGTGCAAGTGAGCTTAAGCAGTGTCAACTTTTTTCTTACAATAGCGTCTTCTCAATAACCAAAAGTAGTACTGATAATAGGCATACAGCATGCTTATATCAATGGCTACCAAGTTTGTTTGAATGAATGGCCTAGACCCATCTTCAAGGTCAATGGGTTCAAATTTATGAAATCTTTCAAACAATTTATTTTAATAACCGAAATACTAGGGTACTGATATTGGGGTTGTCACATGCGGGGATGAAGGGCAACGGAATTTGTTCAAAGAAATGACCTTATGTCCCTGGGGTTAAATATGTTTAAGTCTTCAAACGTCTTCTTTCCAATGTCCAAAAGGCATAGAATACTATTATTGAATTTGTAATATGCTGAGATGAACGACGACCATGTTTGTTGAAATGAATGACTTTGACCTACTTTAAAAAGTTTAGGGGTTAAACTTTGTTAAAATCTTTAAGCAACTTCTTCTCAATAACCAAAAGGTCCAGGATACTGATATTTGGAATGCAGCGTGTGTTGGACGAAGTAATTAGTGACCTTGATCCTTTTTCAAGGTCTTTTTAAGGTCTCTGGGTCAGATGAGCCCAGTTATTCTAAACAAATTCACAATAAACAACAGGCCCATAGTACTGATATTGGGCCTGTGGCACCTTGGGATGAAATGCTACCAAGTTTTTTTTCAAATGAATTATCTTGACTCGTTTTCTAGGCCACGGGGATCAAAATTGTCATGGTCTTCAATATACTTTTTCTGATTAACTGAAAGGCCCAGGTTAATAATATTGAGCTTTTCACGTTCAATGACCTTTACCTACTATCAAGGTTATGTAGGTCAATTATGTTAAGCAATAGGTCCTGGGTCATGGTATTTGTGTAACAACACGTTTGGGAATAGGCTTTCAATTTTGTAGAAATCAATTAAGCTAACCGACAAAGTCTCATGCGTAAGCTGCAAAGCAAGTAGGCGTTTCAGGCCTATTGGACATATTGTTAGTGTATAATTGTCTCTCTGTTTCAGTGGTCCTGGCAGAAATGCTGTCTCTTTGGGGATCCGAATCGGAATCTCCCATGCAAGCTCTCTACTTCAGTTTCGCGTTCGGCGCCATAGTGTCACCTCTCGTTGTCACCCCCTTCTTACAAAGCAAAAACGGAAACGCAACTGAGGACTTTGTTCACCATGGCGACACTGCGCTCGAATCGCATATCGACACTCTTGAAACAATATCAAAACATGAAGAAAATGTTTCTAATGAATCGATACACGGACTTACCTCATCGGTGACAAACATAACTGGTGTTACTCATAATGCATTAGATACTGCTACCCACTTAAGTGAAACAAAAATAGTATCATCATATATTAATTCGACTTGTGTACAGTATGCGAACGTGTCATTAACAAATTGTCATTACGAAGTGTTGCCATCTCAGTATTCCTCAGAACTTTACATTCCTTATAGTATCTCCTCAGGACTCTGTCTACTCGTGTCACTGCCATTCCTGGCATTGTTCATCCTTTCTTTAATCAAGAAATTCAAAGTTTCATATGTCGATGATGAAATTCGCACTACAAAAGCGTTAACAAATAAGCTGAAAATAGTAACACTGCTGGTGACAGGAATTATCTCCGGTATCGACACGGCTATGGAGGACGCATATGGTGATTTTCTTATGGCATTCTGTGTATCACAAATGGGATGGACGAAACAAAATGGCGCCATAGCAACATCGCTTTTTCACGGATCGTTTGCAGTTGGTCGATTTGTTGGTATTTTTCTAGCAATATGCTTCAAACCTTTACAGTTAGTACTATCATACAGTGTTCTTTTAATACTTGTCAATGGAATGTTTATCGTTGGCGGGTTACACGGATGGGAGAAAGTTGTATGGATATGTAGTGTACTAGCTGGTATTGGAATGTCAGTAATCTCGCCTTCTATATTTACGCTTACCGAGGAATCGTTTTTCCCCGTGACAGGGAGAGTAGCATCGTATTACGTCATTACCGCGTGCCTGGGTTCGGCATTCAACTCCTTCCTGATAGGATACCTAATGGATACTTGGTCCTATATGTCTATGTTTTACGTTCTGTGTGTAGAAGGATTTATCATCTTTTTCATGGCATTAATGTGTTACGTTTTACTGCGTATGTTCTATAAAGAAGAAATACAATGTCCGACTATTGAAGATATTGATACAGACGATGGTTTGTAATCTCTGTCAGGAGGATGGATTATAGATGGCATGTAAATTTTTTTTTGTTTTTTGTTTGTTTTTTGATAACGCACGGGTTGATAAAAAAGAAAGATAAAAAAACAAAAAAACTTTTTTTTTTGTATTAGTCGCATTTTATAGTCAAATGGTCAAAGTATGTTACATATTTTAGAATAAAAAGCAGAAGATAATTTACATATACACAAACCTAAGGTACATAAAACGCCTGTAATGACTTTTAACCGATTAAAATAAATATGAAACGATTACTTTGTGCTGTCATTTGTAGACTTAAGTTATAAATTTCCATGAGAAAGTTTCGAAAGCCTATTCAAAATCTAGTATTAATAACATCTCTGAAATATCTTTATCTTCAGCACACTGCATAATATCATAAATTTATCTTGTATTTTCACAAATAGATCAGCCTGAAATAAATCCTGTTTGATCTTCAGTTATTTATTTATCTAACACTGTTTTTATTCTACCTGCTATTGACCCGGAAGCTATCTTATAAACTATATTTAAAAATGATTTGGGTCGCCAGTTTTTAAGTATGGTCTTGGTTTATCTCCCTTGGGAAAACATGTAATGATACCTTGTCACTGAATTACTTATAGTTAGCCTTTGTCATACACACGATCAATAGATCGAACCATAAGTATACCTAGCTGTTTCCAAAAATATTCAAAAATTCTACACTAAAACCATCAGAGTCTGGACTTTTATTGTTTATCATGCCTTTTCATGTTTTTGCAGCTTCTAATATCAGCAACCCTTCTAATTTTTCAGACTGTGTATTATTTAATTTGGGAGCATCACATGCAACAAGATATTTGATTAGATCCACATCATAAATTTATCATAGGTATCGTCATATAACTTTTCATAAAGGGAATGAACTTCCTCTAGTATTTCATCTTGATTGATGATAATCATATTCCGTTTCTCTATCTTTGGTATTATTTTAGACGTAAAGTGCCTATTCTCTAAATTATTAAAAAAAAATATGTAGTTGGTTTTTCCCCTTCTTCTTGCCAATTTGCCCTTGATCTTATAATACTGCCAATAACTTTTCTTAACCTGATTTTCTATAATTCCCATTTTTTCCTATCTAATTCTTCTATGTCCATATTTGCCCTCCCCTCAATTACATCTATTTCTGCCTTCAAGGTATGTTCCTTTTTGTCTTGCCTGTTTCTTTCTCTAAGCTGAGTATGATACACTTTTCTCCCTAATTTCCATTTAAAGTGGTTTTTTTTAAAGCAGCTGATCGTCAATAATGAAAGTAAAATCTAAAACTGGAATGTCTGCTATGTTGTTAATTTCATACACAGGTACAGAATATTAAATCTTTACATCTATAATTGTTTGCATTGCCATTTCAAAAATGTTGTATCATATCAAAAACATGAGTTGAATTTCCATAATCATTTCCTTCGTCTAAATTCATTTTATTTCAAAACAATGATAGGAAAGGAGTAATCAGACCTGTGTTGTAATCAACTAGCTCGTATGTTGAAAATGCATTATTAATTTTTACCTCATCAGAAGTATCTGTAAACTACCTCAAGTCAATGTTCGTGCGACACGAAATTCTAGAAACGGTAGTGTCGGACAACGGCTCTGAATACGTCAACCTATCGTCGCTGCAGTTATCTATGTAAGGGTTTTACGAAGGTGCAGACAAAAGGTGCGACTTTCAGGAGACCTAACAGGACAGCCCATCACATTATGGTACTGATATTGTGTACAGTTGTTCAGGAGAATCTATGGCCAGGCTCAGACAAAATTGTTGCTCGGAGTAAATAAGCCAGATGGCCCGGTTACACCTTCAACAATATCAAACTGGATAGCAAACATTATTAAGGAATCATATAGGCAAAATGGCCGTTTCTGCAACGGAAATGGACATTCCACAAGGCTATATAACCAATATGGGCTCATGGACAAGCATTATTTCTTGTCACCAATATGGTGTAATTTAACCAACACAACAGATGAGATAAACCACAACGGACAATATTTTTACATTTATTGCATTTTACAGTGATAGTTATGCAAAATAAACAGAATGATGTACATGCACGTGATTTTCTCTCACGACTGACTCACGCTCTTACTAATAAAGTATCACAGTGGAAAGGCCTTAAATATATAACAATTACTAAACCCTTCTGTATCCCAAAGAGTTCATATGAGCTCCACCAGTAACTGTTACGATAGTGAACACAATAATGTAGATACAGTTCTCCTAACTTCCCTGTGAAGCATTGAGATGAACTCTGTTCTGTTCCGTAGTGACGAATGCATGAAACCAATTTCACCTGACAGATGTTTAGTCGCTTAATGGCACAGTTCCTCAAACAAGCACAATCAGGCATGTTAACCTCACGGAAGCTTCGTCATGAATATGATCGTCTATGACCATAACACACAGCTGGACCTCCATAGTGTTCATGAAAATGGCGTATAATGGACATGGGCAGGGATATGCAGCTACAAGAAACAAATAGTAATCCCTATAAGAGTATGTCCTGAGCATTATAAACAATAAATAATTATAATATAACTCTATTTATTCAATACGAGCATTTTATACACCATAGCAATACTCATCACTGCATTCGAAATCAGATACGCGCACCTGTTAGCTCAAAACTGCCAATACCCCGCTATGTACATGTTTGTACGCCTATACACATTTAATTGTTCATATACACAACATATACTACTCACAATTTGATAGGGATCACTTTCTTATTTAATGTGTAACGGTATCTATTTTAAGAATATATTTTACAGTTCAATTTATACATATTTCGGCATTATAAAATGAAGATTTAACAACACCAAGCGAAGAATAACAGTATTAATTTGCTTCAATGCTCATTGTACACAGATACCCCGAAAATCGCAAATTACGACAAAAGGGGCGAAAAATTAAGTCCTACGAAACAGTGTCGTTCAGCGAAAAATACAGTGTTAGTATCGAGTATAACGTCCTCGAGCATCAATTACGCTCTGGCAGCGGCGGCGTATGCTTCTGATCAAGTCTCGAATCCGGTTTTGGGGAATACTTGTCCATTCAGCGACGAGAGCTGCTTGAAGTTCCTGAAGCGTTCTAGGTTGGATGTTTCTCGCCGAAACAGCGTTCTGAAGCATGTCCCACACGTGTTCTGTAGGACTGAGATCTGGAGATCGGGCTGGCCAGTCCAGCACCAGCATAAGGCCTGACGTACACGTCCAGGACTTCGTCACAGTACCTCTGTGCAGTCAAACTGCCATTAAGGAACACATGATCGGTCTTGCCTTGCATGCTAATGCCACCCCAAACCATAACAGATCCGACACCGTATCGGTCATGTTGGGAAACGTTAGCGGCATGGAACCTCTCATTTGGTAGTCGCAACACCATGGCACGTCGGTCAGTGAAATCTAAGCAAAATCTAGACTCGTCTGTAAAAAGTACGGGGGACCAGTCATGTAGGTTCCAATTTACATGATCACGAACCCAAGCAAGTATAGCTTGAACATGTCGTAACGTCAAAGGAATTCTCACAGCAGGTCTGCGCGACCTTAAACCAGCATCATGAAGTCTATTTCTCACAGTTTGTGTGGAGATACGAGTTCCGATGGCATTCTGGAAGTCATTACGTAGTGACGTAGCGTTGATGACCTACCAGACTGGATCATACCAATGCCCCTGTCCATATCTGAAGTGCTTAGACGTCTTCTAGCCTGCTGTCGGGGCATTTTGAAACCATTAAAATTCAAAATGTTAAGCAAAAAGCGAGATATTCTGCCACAAACGTATTGATGACAATCTGCACGTAGGAGCCTCGTGCGTGTACACGTGAAGTGTAGACGTTACGGGTGACTGACCACATAAACACCCGATACACATAGACCTCGGTACAGATATAAACCAACAAATATAAGGAATACGTATAATTTTATTTTAAAAGAAAATTTTGCTAATTATTAGGTGTGATCGCTATCAAATTGTGAGTAGTATATCACCGAAATAATTCCAACTAAGCGTGACTGTATTCCACGCTCCTGATCGTCTGCTTGATATCATAAATACGTTTACCCATCAATATATCTGCCCGTGTACCTTCTCGTCGTGTATCACACACGCGCGAATACCTTTTAAAAGTTAGGCGCGAGAAATGGGCTTGTAATTGAAATGATGAAATAACATAAATCATACTTACAACAAATCTACATATACGCTTACAACAGGTATGTTACATATGTACATGTAGTATATCATATAAAATTCACCTTCAACCAGTTATGAGGCAAACTTACCTCCTCTGAACCATTGATGAGCTAGAGATGCGTTCCCTTCTCTTTTCTCAAGGAACAGGAGAATGTCCTCGGCTAGGATGTCCTGAAATTCCCTGAGGAATTTTCATACGAGATATTTTCAAGGAGATATTAGCTGAGGAAAATCTGGGCTTGAGGAAATCTGAAATTGAGATATTTCATACAAGTGGGGCCAGGATATACAGGGAGACCATGAGGGCGAAGTGAGTATCTACGGAATGTGTCATTGTAAAGATCTGAAATGTTCACGTGGAAAATTAGGAGGATCGTAATATACAGCAATAATAAACATATTAAGATAATCTTTATGAAGCATTTAAGAGGTAATTTTCACATCAGTACACAGTAAAGATGCGACATTTTGAATCATTGACTGTTGGCTGAAAGAGCATTAAACAAATTATCAAATACAACGACAACTTGCAGGAAATTTTGATAAAGCAGAATCTGAGCAATGGCCTTACCAACATCACAGACACAGTGTTTGAATTCTTCTTTCTTACAGCTAAAACGTTCTAGGAAGTTTGGTAGTAAGGTTTTGATGTTTGTTAAGGAAACACATATGACAACATCTTTTTTCTGAAGTGGAAATAAATCCCTTATAGTCAAAACATTGATACATCAATGTATTGTGTAACATCCTTTGATGTGATGTAAAGAAAGGTCTACATACAGCTGTAGATATCACTACTGCTGTTGTTGAGACTTTTCAGGAAGTTGTAAATTCCTACTGCTGTATCACTGACAAGAATTAGAGAGGGTTGGTAAACTTTGTAGGAAGTATTTGTCAATGTCTATGAAATTGGGTGAGTTAGTACACAATTATCTTGTCTACAGGTATTAAAGACATTCAAGAAATGTGTACAATATGTGAGTAAAACCAAACTCCACCAGCAGCAGTAAGAACATTTCGAGTGATATTGCTGATGGTACTACCTCTGTTATTCTGTAAGTGATCGTTGGCGGCATAGAAACTGTGGAGGTATCCAGGTCCCAGAATCTTGAGCGATATTCTCCAGGGAAGGAGCAGATTGAA